ACAGAGCGAGACTCCGTCTCAAAAAAAAATAAAAAGAAACCATTTATTTTAAAAACGATTAGATTGCTATGCCTCAACTCATATAAGATGGACTCTTCAAGAAAACGTGAAGTAGAACGGATAGGCCAGAAATGAAAACAGCCAAAGTAAAATATTTCTTCAGAAAACATTTTATCAAACCAAATGTTGAGTTTCCTTGTGTAAACCTGGATTGGAGAAGACTTTTCAGTGGGTTATCTCTAGTAGTTCAAGACTTAAAAGCTGCAGAGAAAACTGAAAATTATGTTCCAGATAACTTTCCATTGTTTACTAAATTTTCTTGGACTTGGTCATCATCAGGAAGCATTTGTAAAAACAATAATTTCCAAATTACTGGCCCATCCCAGACTGGCTGAATCCATTTGATAGGATTAATCTCCAGTGAAGCTGTGTTTACAGAGCGTTCCAAGTGATTCTTATCAGGAAATGTGAAAAACACTCCCGCATGTAATCAGTTAATTTAAAATTTTTCTTAATAAGCAAACAATTAATGAAGATTTCACCTGTTTACTTAGGGTATCTACCCAGACCCATCGATTCTGAGTTCGAGGGATGATTTTGAAATTATTGCTTTCCAAATAAAGGTGCTCCCTTGTATGTGGCTTTACTAATTTATTTCTCCCCAGTAGTGAGGAGGAGGGATATTTCCTCCTTGTGGGGCTTCAGACCTTAGTCTTTGACCTTTAGCCTTCTGAGCACTGTGCTCTATTAACAGAGTTAATCAGCAACTGTACTTCCCAACCTGAGATAAGGAGGCTTTGTGGAAGTTAAATAGCCTGGGACTGCTGCTTTTGCTCTTGCCTGCACCTTTCTGCGAAAAAAAAGTCTAGGCAAGATGCACAGCATAGCTATCAATGCCTGGAGGAGTCCTCTGGGCTTCGGCAGGGGTTCCTGTTAGTGTACACATCATCTGCTGGCCCCTTGAAGAAAGCCTAGGACATCTAATTTAGTAATAATGGTCACCATTTATTGAACACAATACTGTTACGCAGCATGTCAAGCAGTTTATTCTGTATTTCCATGTGTTACGTAACCCTCAACCAAGCCATAAGGTTAGTATTATCACTACCATCCCCATTACTCAAATGAAGACAGATCTAGAGGCTAGGAAGGCTGGCTAAAGTCACTCAGCTTAGTGGCAGAGCCAAGATGTAACCCACTCTCCCAAGACCAGAACCTGAAGTTTTGACCACAATGTGGGCTGCATCCTGTAAGTAGGTACATAAGAAGAATCAGACATTTAGGTATGCTACAACCCATGCTTATAGTATAATTTAGTATGAGGAATTGCCATAATTTGATTTCTTTATTAAATATGCTATCTTAACTACTTTTAGTATTATTTTTTTCATTGCTTGGCAATGCATGTAATTAGAGAAGAGTCAGAAAATAGAGATTAGCAATTAGAACAAAACACCAAAAATTTCATCTACCCAGGGACAGCCGAAGTTAAGCATTTAGTCCAAGTTCTTCCAAATCTGTGGATATAATTGTAATGTTTTAAATAGAGTTTGCTCATACCATACAATTTTCTTCTTTTTTCGCTTTTTTTTTTTTTTTTTTGAGATG